AGCACTGACGAGAGAGAGAGAGAGAGAGAGAGAGAGAGAGTAATTAGATTGAAATATTCTCGGAGAGAGAAATATCTTGATTATAATCTCTGTTTACGTCAAACGTAATGAATGTTTCACTTATTCACCGGTTTTTCATTTGGGAAAAGTATTTTTTATACGAAAGTCAACCTAAGCTTCAAATTATATTTACATTTGTATTCAAAACAATTAATTATTTATATTTGGATTTCATGTAAAGGTGTGAGGGATAGGCCAGAGGTATGATATCAGAGCTACTGGAATAGGGAATGGAGTGGTTTGACAGGACTTAATGAATTGTATTGTCCACAACGACCCCAATCTACAGACTTTAAATCCAGAATTCAGAGCTTAACGAGTGCTGAGAATAAAAAATGTTATTTTATGTTTCATTATTGAACATTAATATATTCACACATTTAAATTACATTAGGTATTTATTTTAAGCTATATTTTAATCGATTCTCTTATTATCATAAATAACTAAATATATTACTGCATAATTAGTCAGTCTCTGAATATTAATATATTGACTATATTTAGGGTTTAATTCAAAGTATAAATTCAATTGAATCTAATTATTTAAATAAAGTTATACTTAACGAAGATTTATATTTGTTTAATAAACACAATATTTATATAAATTTTAATTGAATAGTGATTATAAATTGAATAGTTATTTATAACATGAAATTCTTGTAAAATAATCAAATCTATTAACTAAACTATAAGATGTTTTGACTCTTTTCATCTCATTTGCTCTATTTTTATTAAGAGATCAGTTTTGGTATCAATTTATAACTATTTCATCAATTCATTTATTAATAATATTGGCAAACATTTGAAGTTTATTACTTATTTATACCAATTTTATACATTTGTGAACTATTTTCGCCTTAATATTTAGTTATCATTTTTATTTTAAGTGTAATTTAAATTTAATTTTGGTGTCAATGCTTGGATTGCAGTGAAAAGTAATAATTTTATTGATAGCGTTTTTGAATGTACTTTAAATATTGTAAAACTTAGCACTGATTTAAATATGACTTAAAGAGTCTGTAAATGTTAGGTCTTCTCCACTTTTAAGACACATTAATGTGAATGTATTAATAGTGCGAGACTTGTATTAAAGGACAATCAACTTTTCATTACTTCCAGTTTTTCTTGTTTCCATTGATATTTTTTCACTTTATATGAAACTTATTTTTTATTCCTCTTAAAAGCACACTTAAGTCAATAGTCTTTATCAGAATTTTTCATATTATATTCAAAGAATGTTTAGTTCCGATAGAGTAAAAGTGCATTTACTCTAAAAAGTGCTCATTTAATGATAATCTGTTCAAAAGATTCGGCAATTCTGTCAAACAAAATGCAGAAACCCTTCCCTTTTTATCGTCGATGAATGTAATAATAATTACTATTATTATAAAATCTAATCGATTCTCATCTTTCATTTCTATCTCGTTATTATTTTTCTAAACATTATCTAAATTTCTTTTTAAAAGTTTAAAACATTGTCTTTGCTGTTAATGTTTTGATAAGATATGCATAACTTGTGAATGATTTTTGTTTATATTTTATAATTATCTGTAAATATGCTCTGCATTTAAATCTCTATTATTCATATATAGAATTATATAAATAATAATTATTATCTGATAAAAACTATTTGTAATAATGAGAAGTCAAGATCCTTACAAGTTATCTAATAATACATTTAAATTGTTGAATATTCTGTTAATATTGCCAAACAATAGCAATATTTGATATAAAAATTCACATTTAGATTGTGAAAAATACTAGAATTCTTGTTAAATAATATAATACATAAAACACTAACTATTTTACAATCATTAGAAATACAAACCAAATTGTTTTATTAGTACATTACTGTATCATATTATGATAAATTGCTTATTTCACAAAATATTTACTAAAATCGGATTTAAAAAATTTATAAAAATAATGTATAATTAAGGGAATGATATGAGCACTAGAGTTGAGCGCCGGTGAATTGTGGTGCTTCGGGCTCATTGACTTCAATGCCACAGACATCAGAGATAAAGTAATCCATACACGCCTGATATAACTGGATTTGTGCGATCACTGTGTTCTTCGTGTTCGGGAACTTCTCCTCCGCTTCTTCTTTGCACTGTTTGTGATAACCCAACACTTGATCCTCGATTTGTTTCGTCAATTGCTTGTTCTTGATCTCAGTCTCGGCTTTACCGAAATCATAGGCGTTGTTGGCTGTGAACCAGCCCTCGCTCTGCAGAGCGCAGGCAGCGATCTGTTCTCTATGCAACTCAACCGTATCTCTGGTTATGTTTTGAGGCAATGGAGTTGTCTCCAGACATTTGGTGATAACCTGGGCTTTTGTCATCTTTTCCTTTTCTGACGGCTCTAATTGCGGGCATTTTCCTGCATTCAAGACATTAAACACAATATTATATAAATTACATTAAATTAGTTTTCATATTATCTAAAATTAAATATTTTTAAAAATACAGAAATGATACATGTGCATTTTAATGTATACAAAATACATGAATGTAAATCATGAATACCCCAATTGATTTGCGGTCCCTGTGTTGCGGGCGGTTGTTGTGACTGTGGCTGCGGCTGAGACGGCGCCTGGGCTTGTGGTGGCTGTTGACTGAACTGTTGCTGCGGTGCAAAGAATTGAGGGGCAAAGAACTGTTGCTGCGGTGGAGCGGATCCCTGGGGGCCGAAGAACGGCGGCAACTGTTGGTTGGGGTCGAAGAACTGTTGCTGCGGTGATGGCTGTTGAAACATCTGTGGTTGTGATTGTCTCGGCTGCTGCTGTTGTTGTTGTTGTTGCTGTTGCTGTTGTGCAGTGAGAATAGCCAACTGTTGGAGCAGCTGTTGCTGCTGTTCCAGAGACAAGAGCTGCGGCTGCGATGGCTGTGACTGCGTCTGAGGTTTGGGCGACTGTTGGGACGATTGAGTATTTTGTGGGTTTTGGGCGGAAGCGCTCCTCAAGAGATTCACCATTTGTTGGCAGTGAATACCGTTGAGGAGAGCGACGGCCAACAGAGCGGTGGCGAACAGTTTGGGCAACATTTTGGTCAAAAGCTGTGACTGTGTGTTAGAGAGGGAGAGATGTGAACGTAAAGCAAAGCTCCCAACGAATGGATAACCGCTTTCACAGATAACTAACAGATGAGTGAAAACAGTTTCGAGAAGTGTTTGGTCTTTATTGGATGCAAAAGCACTGATCGCCAGACGAGTGGATGTGAGAACTCCTTCTAAACGAAAACCACTATTACTTGTGGAGTGAAAAAGTTGTCTACCAGTGGTTGCAATAGTTGTTTTGCTGGTGTTTGCGGCGCTCAGCGCTCAACCAACCAAAGGGACATTTTTTAACTACTATTTGCTAATCTCATGCCTATTTCACTTGTCCTCCGGTTTTCTCTCAACTACTGTTCGCTAATGTATTGGACATAAGGGTCGACCCATTAGTTCAGTGACCCATTATAGCGTATTTATAGGTCAGGGCCAGAACCGTACTGTCCATACCGGTCCCCTAAGACCACTGTAAGTCACTATAAGCTGTTCCGTTTACTATAATTAGTAAACATTTATAACTCAATTATACAACCATTATAAACCATTTTCTACTAATTAATATCAATTTAATTAAACACGAGTTCACTCTATTTGCTTTATTCTTATTATAAATGAGTTTTATTTGGTTTTTATTCATTTATAATAACCTTTTTTGCATTACATTTATGAAATTATTTCTCAGTCCCAAAAATGTATTTTATTTCCTCTTTACAAAATAAAAGCTTTTTTATTCAAATGGATTTTATTTATATAAAATATTATGAATTATGATTTTTATAATAATATATATATTTTACATTTAAATGTTATTTGAAAAGCCTTTCAACCAATAAGTCCATTAATTTTGAACAACATAAATTTTAAAAACTTTATTTTATTACAATTTAGTATAGCTATAAATGAATATAAATGTTGGTTTATTCCCTGATATTCTAGTTTATCGTCTTTTTTAAATTACATTAATTTTTATGATAATTGGAGTGATTTTGGGATTAGTTTTGAATTTATTTATTTAGTTTTATTCCCATTAATAGAGTAATAATAATTATATAATTTTTAATTGTATATAATTATAAATCAAAATATACTCAAAATTATTTTGATTTTTATTAACTTCACGTAATAACCAATATTATAAATTTATTATACATAATAAATATATTCTGTAATATTTGTACTTTAGATAATAAAATTCTGTGACTTTTATTAAAAACTAATTCAAATACAACACAACTTTTTTTGGAAAATATTATAACTTGTGTTTTATTAAATAAATTACTTTCGTTTTATTTATAGTGACTTTATAATTGTGTTTAAGCACTGAATGAGTTTAATTTAAAAATAAATTGTACAAATTAGAAAGTTTTTTGAGTAAATTAGCAAAATTTTCAGACAAATTATGTCATGCGATGATTAAATTGATTACTAAATTAAAGTGAACGCACAAAACAATATCCCTATTAAATGGTAACATACAGTAAATGTGAATTACATTTGATTACATGTTTAGATTTGAAATTAAGCCACAATTTAAGAAAAACTCGTTTTTACTTTATATCTAAATGTATTTATAATAATTCACATTAAAAATATACACTTTTTTAGTGTAATTCTGTGTTTACTATACTTCATACAAATTAGTACATTATATAAATATTATAGACATTTATTTTTATAAAGATTATAATATATTTTAATTTCAGTCTATATTTTACAGACTTGTAATAAAATTATTACATGAATTTTAGTTTATTCACTCTTTTTTAAAAGTCTAACTATAAATAAAGTGAGAGTTTTATTAGGAAATAAAAATTGTGTCCAATTTTTGTGATAAACCTTTTCATGTGACGGAAACTAATAATTACAATAAATATTATATAATAACATTAAATAAATGTTAAAATTTGGCATAAAATAAGGCATATATTTGTCAAATGTTTAGAAAATGTGTTCCGTTTTATGAATTATTTATATTATTTAAAAACTAAATTCTGTGTTTAATATTCATAGAAAAATTCTTATTCTGTTTATTAATAAAAATTTATTGTTGTTTATTTGATTAATGCTATAAAATTCACTGAAAGTGTATTCTTATTGTTAATACATGTAAAAATGCTTGTCATGTAAATAATGTCAAATATGTAATTATTTATAGGGTTTTCCAATTTCTGTCGTATTTCTCTCTAAACAACAGATCGGAAGTTCATTCAAAGAAAACAATTAAAAATGTAATGAGTTTTTGTTAGCCGAGACACTGCATCCTATTCCGCCTCCACAGCATCACAATTACTATTTATTATTAACTATAAATTACTTTTTATTTATAAATACAAACATATTATTTGCTTTTATAAACATACAATTATTTTTATTTATTTTATGCCAAAAATACATGTATGTTTATAAGAAATACTCCATGTTTTATGTCTTGCAATAATTGTTATTGTTATCAATATTAACAATTATTGTTATGATATTTATTTTCGAAATAATTTGTAATTTGAGGAATTTTATTTATTACAAATTACTGATTATAACATAGATAAGAGATATAACACAAACATAAATACCGAACACATATTAATAGTGTGTTTCTTAAGTAATGATTGTTTGATTGCAAACATATATCTAACAAATTCTCGGAAAAATTATATAATCTTTTCGTTAATTCTTATTAGAAATGTTTGCGTTTAAAAGTCAGCATAAATTTAAAGTATGTTTTATTTTTAACATCCATTTGCGTCACTATTGGCTATAATACTACATAAATACATGTAATGTTAATATATTTTTATTGTTTGAATATTGTTTGCCATAAAATCAATAAATCGCACATTAATACGAAATATAGTTGTGTTTATTTAAAATACAAATCTACTCTCTTTTTGATGAACAGTATTTCATAATAAAAACACATCAAATATTTATAGCATAATATGAAATGACATACGAAATAAAATATTGAGTATTACTTGCACTCAATTTTATAAACAACTTATTTTTAGTCCATATTTCTGGAAAATTTGGGATAATATTAGTTTTTAAAACCACCGGTTCTTTAGTCTTAAACACAATACATTACGGAAATATAATTTACTATAAAATACATTTTATTTCTTAAAAAAGTTAACTTTTGATAACTTCCTACTTATTATTCGCTTTTGTTATATTTGTCTCAAAATACAATTCATTTTAATACTTAAGTAGTATAACTGAATGTAAATAGTATTACAATTAACTTTTGCAATAAATGAAAAACAAAATTACGAGAAAACATATAATTTCAATTAAAGTTCATTTGAATTGTTTGAATGAATTTTCTATCATTTATATAAATTACATTAAAATTTAATATTTTTCAAATGTTATTAATTGTGGAGCAAAAGGGGATACGAGTCAGTAATTCATACATTTACTTATTATGTATTACAAAGTTATAGCAATACATGCAATACATGTAATACATTGTCAAATTCTCATTATATTTGCATATTTCCATAGATTGTCGAAAATTATTATGAACTTCATTGTAATTTCATTACAGAAAAATCGTTGTAAAACTCATAATCATATAAATGTAATCGTGTTTTTCGTATTTCAATGTTTTTCCAGTTGAATATGTAATGGACTTTAAGCCTAATTATGATATGGTTTACAACACTAATACAAAAAACAAAAGGAAATCTAACTTTTACTTATCTAACGGCTAAATAAAGTGTAAAACTATTAGCTTTTAATGTAATTGTAATTACTTTTAGTGCAAATACAGACTTTTGTATGCGTTTCCCGACTTATGATTAGGTTTATAGCGCTTAAACATTAGGTTATTTTTTAAAAACATTTTTGTTAAATTAATAGTCAAAGCCTTTCATAATATAATATAATTATAATGTAATTTTTGTTTGTTTTACATAATGATAATTTTCTAATAATTCTAATAATAAGCACTCGTATGACAAATATGTGGTAAATTGGGAGCAAAAGGAGTGAATTCATTAAACATTATAATTATTCTGTTTTTTATTTATTCAAAGCATTTATTAAATTATATGTGAATTAAGATTCAATAAATATATTCCATTATATAAATTATATTTGAATAATAATGATATGATAATAATCCCTTGAAATTCATTGTTTTTATAGCAAGCATTTCAATTGATAAATCAAATTATGTTAAGTTTTGTTTTTTTGATAATTTGATAATTTATTTCCATAACACTAATAATAATCAGTGATTATATGTTAACAATCATTATATGTTTTATTTTTAAATTTAATAATTTCAAAAATATTTTTCTTTGAAAATATTGTAATAATTTATTTTAAAGGTTTAATTGTTTTGTTGTTTTTTGAATATTAAATCAATAATACTTTTGTTGTTAACGCAAATTCAATGCAAATCTAATGTCAAGAACAATGAAAAATTCATTGAAAAATAATTATTCACAACATATTTCTCAAAAGACGTAAAGTTTTTTTTTTCAAACATCTCAGGGATTATTAGTATTTCATAGATTTGCCATCAGTTAAAAAAAACTTTCCAAAATATTCAATATTTTGTTAATTTGTAAAAACTATTTAAATATGACTTTGAGTTTTTTTAATCACAAAATCCTGATTTGAAAATCAATAAAAGTTTTACATTTCAAATATTAGTAATAATGATATTAAATAAATTTTGAGTCATATTATTTGGTTAAATCATTGCCATAAAAATATCCACATTTAACGGACATTACGTAACATAGAAATCATTAAAAACTGATTTGAAAATTCACTTTTTGAGAGATGAGGTCTATAATAATGGTGTCAATTATGATAAGCTATAAATCGATGCCAACAAAAATCCAAACCTTGAGTTATAATTCAAATCAAAATTTAATTGATAGCTCTCTTCTGCAAAACACATCTCATATCCTCGGGTTTTAATGACAACTACCGGACATTTTCCTCTCTTCCACTCCCTCTCTCTCTTTCCCTCTCTTCCACTCTATAATTGCTTTGTCTATAATTGAG